CGCTCCCCCTTGCAAGGCCTAAGTAGACACACAACTTGTCCTATGGGAGATTTTGACACAACTTGCAACATCTCAACTCCTAGAAGGCTCGCGCCAAAGGAGGAGAGATCGAGAAATGGCTACAACAGAGTTTCTCTTATTCGTATTAATAACGACTAATCTAGGAGGAATGTTTTATATGCTTACTGCACCAGTCATGCTCATTTTTCTTTTAGTGTAAGAGCTAATTCCACCTTCTTTGTAATGGCTTAAATGTTTGATGTCCTTCATTTGCCAAAATCCATGTGACACTAAGTTCATCAGCAAGGAAGATAATTTGACTAAATTCAGACACCCTTCCTTCATTTGCCACAATACATTCAATGCTAAACCATCTGAAAATATTTTGTATACATGCATGAACTAGAGATAGCAAAGCTATTTCAACAGTTTATTAGAGAAGCCAAAAGCAGGATGTATCTATCTTTACAGAAGACAAACTACTAACAATGCTCAGAATTTCCGTTTCATGAGAAGCAACATCACTTACAGACATATGCAAAAGATTCAGCTTCAACTAGTTTATATACTCAACAATTTCTTTGTCCTTCCTCTTAGCTCTAGTCGTCCCATTTAGGGAAAGATTAGTTATGGTCCCATTAACACTCTCATCTCTCCATATCTCTTGCAACCTTGTTCTGTCGTTATAACAGAGTGTGTGAAGAATTGCGATGTAGTGCTCTTTGCTTTAATCACTTTTGTCCTCCTTAATGATTACTAAGTAGACAAGAGACTACATCCAGCTTTACCATCTGCTCAATAGGTTTGTCATAAGTGGACAGCATGGCAAGAAGGACTAACAATTCATCAACGAGTACTTCAAAAACAGCTATAGAGCTATTTTCTTTGACAACACCAAGATTAACATTTGCTGAGCAGCATCTTTCATGGCCAGCAGTGGTCCTTCATTGAGTTTGACTAAAGGCTCGAGAGCACCTGCCTTCATTATAATACAGTTGTTTTGACTCTAGTGATGATACATCATTTATATTTAATACAAGATCAATGCATACGACCATCTTGTTGAAATTCTCTTTTGTTGCGCGTAAAGATAGGTTAAGAATCCCTTGAGATAATAACACTCTTCTATCAGTTGAGCCAAAAATATTATCAAACTTGACTCATGTGTTGTCTTCTCACCTAATTTTGTGAACTTTTTTTTTGTGTAAAATAGAAGTTAATACTTTTTATCCATTAGCCTAACAACATCAAAAACACCATCTGCTATAATATGTTTGCTATAGGTATTGATCAAGAAATGTTCTTTAACAGATACAATCAATTAGCAAGATCAAGTTCACCATTACTGAAGAGTGGAGACGATGGACCATATCCAGCTGTTAGTGAAATCTGAGAGCCAACTTTATGTCCTGGATTCTGTCCTTTCGACAAATTCACAAGGCTCAGAAGTTATAGAGAAGGCTATATTAGTGACAAAATTTTCTTGTTATTCAATAAGCCTCACAGTACCTTCCTATCCAACAATTGTGCAAACAAATTATTGAGCCAAAAAACTAAAACAAAATTCTTCAATAGGATCAAAATATATAATTAGGAGACCTTCAAGATCCCAATGCTTCACTTGGCTATTTATATGGACATCTTTATTGTGAATTAGACTGCAACCTAAATAGTTTTACTTCAATAACTTGTGTTTAAACTTCTTGTACATTGACGCACAACCAACAAACCAAAACGATTTAGCATTATATCTGTTCCAACAATAAAAAAGGAACTAAGCAGCAAACATTTAGGTTTCAGGTCAAGTTATGCCTAGCACTATGGTAAAGAACAACTTACTATAAATGATGTGCACACGAAGAATATTATCCCTGATGCTTTAGACACACTACAACAAAAACAACTTTTAGCGGCATTAAATATTGACACAAATAAAGAGTGCGAAAGTCTTTACCGGCATTAGTTAAGTGTCGTTGAACCAATGTAGCTAAAGGCTTTAGGGACATGTACAAAGAGTGACAATTGCCGCTAAAAATACATATTTTGTGGTAATTAAGAATTAAATGCCGCTAATAGTCATTTTTGTTGTAGTGACATACATTATGCCACTTGAAAATCCAAGAGAAAATTATTTCTTTGGATAGGGAAAAAGGCGTAGAAGAATTTCCAACAGAATGTGCATATGCAAAAGATTAATTCAGCCTCAACTAGTTTGCGCAGCAGAGAAATATTTGTCAATCCGCTCAACAATTTCTTTCGCCTTCCTCTTGGCTCTAGTCGTCCCATTTAAGGCAAGATTAGCTATGATCCCATTAACACTCTCATCTCTCCATATCTCTTGCAACCTTGTTCTGTCGTTATAACACAGTGTGTGAAGAATCGCGATGCAGTGCTCTTTGCTTTTATCACTTGTGTCCTCCTTAATGATACTAAGTAGACAAGAGACTGCATCGAGCTTTACCATCTGCTCAATAGGTTTGTCATAAGTGGACAGCATGGAAAGAAGGACTAACAATTCATCAACGAGTATGCGATCAGTGATCTTCTTCATAATCACCTTTACTGCTCCTTCAAAAACAGCTATAGATCTATTTTCCTTGACAACAGCGAGATTAACAATTGCTGCAGCAGCATCTTTCATGGCCAAGAGTGGTCCTTCATCGAGGAGTTTGACTAAAGGCTCGAGAGCACCTGCCTTTGTTATAATAGACTTGTTTGAGTCAAGTGATGATAGTGTGCAGAGAGCAGCAGCAGAGTTGCTTCTTGTTTCAAGTGTTCCGAATTTCAAAGACTGAACAAGTAAAGGAATGACAAGAGGATTTGTTGCTATAATCTTTTTATTTGGGTCATGTAATGAGATGTTCATAATTGTTGTGATCAATTCTTCTTGTAATTTAGGATGATCATTCACATTTCCCGACATTAAAGGATGTAGCAATTTAGTAAGAGCAACAGTGTCCCATTGGAAAAAAGCCCGTAGAGGTGGAAAGCTTTTAGTGAGAATACGAACTAGTTTTGCAGCTTTTATCTTCTCGGGAAGATCATGATTCGATGACAATATCTGAAGAAGTGAATTGAAATGATGTCGGTCTGATTCTGGGATTACACCATGTTCGATTCCATGGTCTTTGCACCAGAGTGAAATAAGTTTTCTCATAACAAGATTTGGGATGAGATGTGAATTGGGGAGAAGCTCCTTTGTTTCAGGGCAGGTTCGATTACCCTTGTTGAGCCAGTTTTCAATGTATGGTCTGTCATATGTCTGTAGAAAGAAAGAGGATATAATTTCCGAATCAAATGAAATGAAATGTATATAGATTTACCTGTCCAGAAGCAAGAACAACAGGGTCTTTCATAAGCTGATGAGAAATTGGGCAAAGGTATTCAGGGGGTGGAGCAGCTCTCAATTTCAAGTCTTCTAGAGCACTCAAACAATGTATTGCTTCATCAATGTCTTCAATAGTGTAATCAGCGTTTTCAACTATACAATTCACCCTTCTCTGCAACTCTCTTTTCAGTTCATCCACCGACGCCGCCAATCGTCTCCTCTCTTCCGCCATTCACTAATATGAATTTTAACAGATGAAAACAACAACCCTCTATTTGATAAAAAAAAAATACCTAATAATTCTGAATCTAAAAACTGACTTCACTGCTCTATAGCCTAAAGACTAGGAAATATCCTAAATAAAAGCAACTACTAAATCCACATCTGTGATCACGTTATTAACATTCCCTCCTTTAAACCGAAATATCTTTCTGTTTAATTTGAAAACACGATTAGAAAATATTAAATCAAAGTTAAAGTCCTTATAAGTTGAGGATGACTGACATTTAACTAGTTTGAGCTTGTTATTTTATTTTTAGCGCACAAATAAATAATCTTGTTTTTGGAATATAATAATATGAGCTCTAGCCTCTACTTTCTTCTTTGCAAAAACGAAAAGATTAATATTTGCATTTTGTGACTATTTTTTGTTTTCTTATTTCATATGGATTAGTATCCAGATACCCCTATTAACAAATAAACAAATGCTATCAAAGTATTATTTGAGTTCTTTTTTATAAAATATGTCTAATGGAGATCTCTTACTTTATTTTACTACTAATAGTGTCATTTTAATTTCATGACCTCTGAGTGAATACACGGAGATAATATATGACAAGCTAATGAAATAAACTCTATTTATAAGTCAAAGAATAAGTTTGTGAAGCAAAAAAGGAAAAGATAACTATCTAAGTTAAATTTAGAAGTTACAAATGTATCTTAAAGATATAAAATAAATAGAAATTCATACATTCAATATAAGAATATACATTACATGCAATTATATGCGTAAAGTTTCTTAAAAACGGGTTGAAATTGGAGTTTAAATTGTAGAATTCAATTGAAATTTCTTTTTTTAAAATGGTTTAATGTTTCAATTAGTTAAAATTAAAGTCAATTCAAATTATATTTTAAATCAACTAATAAAATTCTCAATTGTTTGGGCGGATTTCCCTATGTTTTGACTCATTTTGACACCTAGATCAATGTAGGCATCAACGACCACAGCATATCTAAAATTTAAGAGTTTGCAATGTATAAGTATCGCATAAACAGTGTATATATCTGATACATCATTTATACATAATATATAATATTAATACACACGAACATTTTGTTGAAATTCTCTTTTGTTGCTTGTAAAGATACGCTAAGTATCCCTTGAGTTTTGTTTCTCATCTATAAAGAAATTTATCAAGTCTTTTCTTGGTTACTGATCATATGAACACAGTTAGAGTTAATTGTGTGTCTTACAAGTTGAAGTCTTAGAGTTGGTTAATATAGAGGGCAATAGAGGGTTTTTTTTAGTGTAAGAGCTAATTCCACCTCCTTGGTAATGAGGTTTAAATGTTTGATGCAACTCTAAACCTGCCCATTCATCAGCAAGGAAGATAATTTGACTTGATTCTTGTAATTAACTAAATCCAAACACAATCCATTTAACACTGAACCATCTGAAAATATTTTGTATATCTTCACCTTTCACACTGGAGATAGCAAAACCAATAGTAAAGCAATTTCAACTTCTCAACATTATAAGCAGGATGTATCTGTCTTTAAAGGTGACACAAACTACAAAGAATGTTCAGGATTTCACACTAATGTACAAGCAAAAGAATCTATATTTTCCTACAAGGACGAATTCGGTCTAATGAGAATCAACAGCACTTACATGGGGTGATTAAGAATGTTTATATGCAAAATATATTCAGCCTCAACTACTTTGCTCATCAGAGAAATATTTGTCTATCCGCTCAACAATTTCTTTGGCCTTCCTCTTGGCTCTAGTCGTCCCGTTTAGGGCAAGATTAGCAATGGCGCCATTAACACTCTCATCTCTCCACATCTCTTTCAACCTTGTTCGATCATTATAACACAGTGTGTGAAGAATTGTGATGCAGTGCTCCTTACTTTCATCACTTCTGTCCTCCTTAATGATACTAAGAAGACAAGAGACTGCCTCCAGCTTTATCATCTGTTCAATAGCTTTGTCATAACTGGACAGTAGAGCAAGAAGGACTAACATTTTGTCAATGAGTATGCGATCAGTGATCTTCTTCATAATCACTTTTACTACTCCTTCAAAAACAGCTACAGCCCTATTTTCTTTGACAAGAATGAGACTATAAATTGCTGCAGCAGCATCTTTCATGGCCAACAATGGTCCCTCATCCAGGAGTTTAACTAAAGGCTCGAGAGCACCTGCCTTCATTATAATACACTTGTTTGACTCAAGTGATGATAGTGTGCAGAGAGCAGCAGCAGAGTTGCTTCTTGTTTCAATTGTTCCAAACGTCAATGACTCAATAAGTAAAGGAATGACAACAGGATTTGTTGCTACAAGCTTTTTATTGGCGTCATGTATTGAGATGTTCGTAACTGTTGTGATCAAATGTTCTTGTAGTTTAGGATGATCATTCACATTTTCAGACATTAGAGGATCTAGCAATTTGGTAACAGCAATACTGTCCTCTTCGAAAAAAGCCCGTAGAGATGGAAACTGTTTAGTCAGCATACGGACTTGTTCTGCAGCCTTTATCTTCTCCGGGATATCATCATTAGACGACAATATGTGAAGCAGTGAATTAAAACGATCTCGGTCTGCTTCTGTGATTATACCCTGGTCCTTATCAGGCAGCTCAAGTCCATGCTTCTTGCACCAGAGTGAAATGAGTTCTTTCATTAGAAGATTTGGGATGAGATCCAAATTGGAGAGAAGCTCCTTTGTTTCAGGGCAAGTTCGATTACCCTTGTTGAGCCACTTTTCAATGAATGGTCTGTCATATGTCTGCACGAAAACAACCATCCTAAGTAGAAAGATGAATGAAACGAAACCCAAAATCTTAGCTAATTTAACGTCTAGTATCTAGCAATGAATATCAGTAAGAAGTAGCTTTGTGATTTGCACTCTTGACTCTACAAATGGACCAAACCTTGCTAGAAAAGTTGTACAGATTCCCAAACAACACTATGAAAGCAATTATAACCAAACCGTCCCCGGCATTCCCTTTTTTTTTCTTTTTCTTGATGAACAACATGACATTGATCAGCAGATGCACTTAAACAACTTTAATCCGCCTCTGGTTATATTCATAACATACAATTTAAATAGGCAGCATTCTTTTTCTTGGTAATGAGAATGAAGAAATAGTGAATGAAACTAGAAATAATTTCAAATATTTGAAGGCAGAAATTGAAGATTACCTGTCCAGAAGCGAGAACAACAGGGTCTTTCATAAGCTGATGAGAAATTGGGCAAAGATATTGAGGAGGTGGAGCAGGTCTCAATTTCAAGTCTTTTAGAGCACTCAAACAGTCCATGACTTCTTCAGTGTCATGAATAGTGTAATCATCGTCTTCAACTATACATTTCGCCTTTCTCTGCAACTCTCTTTTCAGTTCATCTGCAGACACCAACGCCAACGCCTGCATTCGCTCCCCCTGGTTGCTTGATTCCGCCATTCTGTTATTTTTTTTAACACAAACCAACTCTAATTTGTTTTTTTTTTCTTCTTATATATAAGGAGAGGTGGTTACACAATTTCTTTCTCTCTCTTACTTCATTATTAACCACCTTCTCTATTTCTTCAATTGCCAATTTTTTATTTTTTATTTTTTAAAAAAAAAATGGAACGAAATGTTTTCATGTATTCGAAAAAAAGATTGATCATATATTTATGTCAGATTAAAAATTTATTCCGTTATGAAAATTTAATTAGATTTTACAAATTTATTTTTAAAATAGTTTCAAGTTATAAAAGAGAAATGCAATCGATGACACAAAAAAACCTATTAATCTCGTTATTAGGCGCGAGTCTCGCATTCGACAAGTTATTGACGGACATGGAGCATATAGCTCAACCGTTAGCGATGTTTCTATGAGGAAGTAATACATTTTATGTGCAATATGATGAGTCAGAGCCAAAAGTCCAACAAATTGATCAAAATTTTCAAAAGGATAAACTATTTAAGGATGATACCAAAAGGAAAACATTGCCATTAAGGGCGTCAAAATTGTAAGGTAAGACGTATGCCAACATGAGCCTTACAAGCGTCAAGCCGTCGTGCCTTCCGTTTTTAAAAAGGTGGCTAACTTTCTTTAAGAAACGTTAATAATCCTTTTTCATTATTTACTTAATTGTGTTGTTGTTGTATTTTTGTGTTTATTTTTTACTATTTATATGTACATAAAATTGTAATTGGTGCAGTAAAATTGTTTAGTCATGATTTTCTCTATGAAGGTGGGCCTAATCTTTATCGGAGATGCCCAACTACATAAATTTGGACTCCAAGGTCTAAATTTCTATGACCAAAGGCCGCTTTGATATGCCCAAATAGGTCAAGTTGTTCATGCTAATTTTCTTTTGGCTCAATGTATCTGTCTCAATATTAGCCTTGCTCCATAGGCGGATCTAGAATTTTAAGGTTGTAGGTGCTCTGAAGTGAAATTTAAAAAATATGTGTTAACAATGAGATTCGAACCTTGGTACAATAATACTAAAAGAGTCTTAAGTACCCATCCTAGAATCATTAGGCCTACTATATGATTTATTAATTGAGTGCTCTATGTAATTTTATACAAATACTTATCGATTTCTACATAGATATATATATTTCGTAACGAAGTTAATGGGTGCTCAAGCACCCAACGGACACTATGTGGGTCCGCCCCTACGGCTTGCTTGGATGATACTAAATGATCAAATCATAATCTTTGAGCAACTTCATTCATCTATAATATCTTAAGTTCAGATCCTTTTAAGTGAACACATATTGAAGAATGTGATGATCACTGAACACTTCACACTTCACACTTAATTCCATATAAATAATGTCGTCATATGTTGAAAGTAAATACCTCCACCGCCAACTCCAAATCATAGGTACGATAATTTCTCTAATAAATCTTCAACTGTATGGAAGCATAACATTTTTTTCCTGCATCAACATAGCACCTAAAGAATATTCCCCTTAGTGGTCATTGTCGAAGATGAACATGGGGAGGTAGATACACGTGAGGATCTTCCTCGAATCGGGTCTCCTGAAGTAGTCAAGGGATTTGACATATCAATGATCTGAACATATCGATCTCAAATTTGGGTAGTTTAGAATCTGCAATGCAACGTATAATATACATGTCCGATACATAGTTATATTAAAATTGTACATAGTATATTAATACAATATCAACACAATACAAATACATATTAAAAGAATGTCACCTTGTCATAATTAGAAACAATTAAACTTTAAAATGCTTCTTTTACCTTAGTAAAATGGTTAAACCACACAAATATTTAAAAGTTATTCTAGACCACAAATTTCATAAATTTTCCTTTTTTTTTAAAACATTCAATTGTGTCACATAAAATGGGACATAGTCGCAGTCTAACTGATCCGGCTCCTCTCCATTTCTTTTTTCTCTATTTTCTCCATGTTCCTATTTGGATTAGTGACACATAGCATAGTTTAAAATAAATAGTTAAGATTTAATTTCCAAAATAAATCTCTAACCATGATTCAATTAATAAATACATTATATATTAATTATTAAAAATTAGTATAATATAACTATCTTAGCAACATATTATCTTATCCATAAATATAGGGAAAAATTTATCTTCCTAAATTTCTTTTATACGTAAGACTTTTTAAAATTTTCTTTTAAATAATCTTTTAATCTAATTAACTGAATAGAAGTATAGAAACTATAATTAACTATTGTATGTACTGGTATCACCGTATTCGTAATCTTATTATGAAATTGAATTAGTTTGATAAAATAGTTTGATTATCTCTAGGTAATTTATTAATCACCGATCAATATGCTTTTAACAAAAGATTACAATAAAAATATTATATAAATGAAAAAAAAAAGGATCCTACAAAAAAAGGAAGAAAACTTTTCTTTTCTATACTTGTGAGCAAGATAATATATTGCTAAGCTTGTGAGATTATAATAATTTTAATACTTGATATATAATGTATTTATTAACTAAATCATGGTTAGAGGTTAACTTTTAAAAAATAAATTTTAACCATTTATTTTAACCTATGACACATGTCATTAATCTAAATAGAAACTTGGAGAAAATGGAGAGAAGAGAAATGGAGAGAAGCCGGATCCCAGTCTAACAATATCAAAAACACCCATCTCTTCCTTTGCTATAATCTGTTCGCTTCAGATAAGCACTTGGACCAGTCCCATGGGTAATGCTATGTGTGTGTATATATATATATATATATATATTCGGTGTAATTTCTAAGGTGTTTTGGATGAATCTATTGCTTGAATTCAAGAATACGAAATCAACTTCTGTATATCACGAATGAGCTATTGTATATTGAGCTAAAGATTTACAAATATTTTCAGCTCACGTTGTTAACGTTAGAAATATTGGGAAATTTGGAAGTGGTAAGTATCCCCCTATTGTTATTGGCATCCAGTAGCTCACTCATACATTTTAATTAAAACAAATGGCAGCCTAACAGTTATCACCAATTTATAGTATATTGTAGATAGATCGGTAAAAACTTTGTAGATACATATCAAACAATTCAGTGCATTAAAAGTATAAAACAATAGTTGCCTAATTAGGAGACCGTCAAGATCCTAATGCTTCACTTATTGGTATGGACATCTTTACTGTGACTGCCTCACTTTCTAAGTCTGCAATTAAAAGCACAAAAACAATTAGACTCCAACCTGAAAAATTTACACCTGAAGCAGCATCATCTGTATATCTGCTACCTGGAATATCTTCTGCAATAAATGATACTTACCAATATGCATTTAGTTAAAGAGTACTACTAGAAAACTGATGTTTTTATTCCTGTATAATATCAAATGTCATCTTCAACATGCATATGCGGCGGCGTCAACCTAGCATGTATACTAAGATTAACAACTTTCATGCTTATCATTAGATGCTTTTCTTGTTCACACGAAAAAATTCCTTTACCAAAAAACAAGTTTCTTCTAACTGGCGCAATTCAGGTACCTTGAGGTATCAAGATTTTGTTTTAGTTGCCAACTTTAGGAATCCCTATAAGACTTGTCTAAAACAATCAAACTGATTAGGATATGCTTAAAGTGCTCAAGAATTCAGCTCTATTTTTGTTGACTTGTACTACAGGAATCCAAACTTTTGGTGAGGCTCTCGCATCTTCTGAGTGCAGATGTGGCTGTCCCACTTTCTATATCCACTGTTGGAAGTACAGAAACAATTAGATTGCAACTCAAAAGGCCTACACCTGAAGCTACTTTAAGCAGTTTTCTACCAGGTATGTCCTCTGTAATATGACTAACATATTACAGTGAAAAACTATTGCTGCCATAGTACTACACACTATTCCTGTATAGTATCGCCTTCGACATGTAATTAAGTTTTGAAGCCCTTAGAACCAGATACTTCACCAAATAGTGAACCGCGAATGTAACCAAGCAAATCTTACTTCAATACTTGTGTTTACACTTGTACATTGAAGCACAACCAACAAACCAAAAGTATTTAGCATTAGATCTGTGCAATAATATCTGTTCCAACAATAAAAAAGGAACTCAGCAACAAATGTTTATATTTCAGGTCAAGCTATACCCAGCTCTATGGTAAAGAACAACTTACTATATATGATGTGCACATGAAGAACATTATCACTGAGGTTTTAGCCATACCCTACGCCACTTGAAAATTATTTCTTTGGATAGGGAAAAAGGCGGAGAACAACAAATCTAAGACAATGCCAAGAAAAATCAATATAAAGGATACAAGGAAGGATACAGAAGTGCATATACTGTGGACACCTGCATGACTTCCTACTGCAAGGTTTTAAGGAAAAAAATCAACCAGCAAAATGAATTCAGTCTTCCCTGAAAAGGAAACATAAATTTAAGTATTTAGGTTAGTCAAACCCATAGCTGCTTACCTGGCCAATAGACCACAAAAGGCACCAGTCACAGGAAATTCTTTTCTGATGGGACCAATTACAATAATTTCTGATGGTAATGCCGTTCCAATATCAACACATAGCCAGATTACCTGACAAAAAGAGAACTAGCTGCAATAGTGGGACATTTTCTCAAAGTTTTTCTAAGGTCCTGAAGGATCATATCGGTCTTCAAAATCATCAGAAGCATCCCTTGCCTTCCGTTTCTTGAAGTCAAAATGACGATCACCTCTCTCCCTATGTGGACTACTCTCCTCATTTGATTTGTGGTACCTTCTGCTGGAGCTTCTGGAAAAATTTAAACTAGAATCATTTGAATAGTCTCGCTTCTCTTTGCTGATCGATTTCTCACGTGAATATGCACGACCGACTAGCTGATTTGGGCTTCTAGAGTAATCTTTTTTGTCCTGTCTGGACCTCCCATTACTTCTCTGGGCCACTGAATGTCGATGATGCCACTGAGATGCTTTTTCCATATCTTCAGAATAATCATATTTGTAATCTGTTGAATTGACTTCTTCATCGGTATGAAACTCTTCCCTATAACCACCCTCCCTTACTTTGCTTAAAGCAGACGAATCTGGCTGCCTCTTTTCAGACTCAGCTTTATTCTTATAATTATTATTATCCACCCTGTAGGATGCAGACAGCGGAAATTTGGTCACTTCAGCTCCTTTTGTTGGGCAATTGATGGGATCTGCTTGCCTAATTTCCTCCATGTATTCCTCAATTATGTCCCTCATAACCTAAAGGTAGAAGAGGACATCAATAAAGATGTAAAAGAAAAAGGTGTATAGGGAACAGAAAGAAGTAGCTGAATACACAAAATGAGTAGACATAAAGATCGAGATCTATAACGAGTGCAAATAATTGAAGTCCACGAAGCTTTCTGCATTACCAGATGGGCATCAATAGGATTCTTCTTCACAAATTGATTTTTGAAGGGACAAACTCAGAGTTAGGTCAATGATATCCATGACTTGATAGAAAAACAACAAAGAAAACATGCAGTCAAATCTTAAGAAGCAAAATGTACCTGTGTTGTTGACCGCTTCAACTTTTTCCCGCGATATGACATTCTTCTACGTTTGTAATCCCTTTCCTCAGCTAATAATTCTGCTCTAGTCTTTTTCCTATCCATGTCCTGAAAATGCCATGCAAGCGATTAAGAAAGGAGTAAGGATGATAAGACTAAAGTAACTGAAGCTTTAATGTTAAATTACATATCACTAAAAGATTATTTTAATTCACCAATTTTAAGTGAATTTCATATACTGAAGAATTTAAGTCACTGATTTTAAGGAATCCGGTTCTTAAGTTTAATCATCTGAAATGTTTAACGCTAAAAGGTGTTTGACCATGCTAATAAGCTGGTCAAACTAGCGCTTATAAGCAAAAATCAACCAAAATGCTTAAGTTCGGTTACCCCCTAACTTATGATTTTATAGCTTATATGCAGTTTTGGTTTGACAAAACCTTTTACGATGGTAGCCCTAATATGTTTTTTTAACTCTCTGAAGTACACCACCTAAAACATAACTTTTAATTATCTCTATATTTTTCTCCATCATCCATATGCTTTATGTAGAAATATTTTTAGATTTAGAATTTTTGACAAATAGCTTTAGGATATTTCAGTCATTTTAACAGAATAAAGTGTTATCAGTACTTTTAATACAGATTTATAAAAATCCAAATAATTATTAAATATAGCTTTTAATATGAGTTTTAGTTTGTATGAGATGCATTTATATGATATTTAGTGATTGCTCATCCTCCATACTATAACCCAAAATTGTCTCACTAATTTTTTTAGGAAAAAGGGTCTGATATACCCCTCAACTTTGTCATTTAGAGTTGATATACCCCTTGTTATGAAAATGGCTCATATATACCCCTACTTATAAACAAATAACTCACATATACCCTTTTCCTAAAAAAATAAAATCTTTATCTAATTTTTTATTATTTTTTTCAAAAAATATAATCTCATATGAGTAAATTTACTCCTCGCCAAACACATTTTCTTTTACTTTTTTTTGTTTCAATGACTAATTTAGTATTATTATTTTGATAATCAAATTTATTTATGTTTCACTAATATTCTTGTAAAACTTATTGTAGATGACCAAATTTTTTTCTTCGAATACAAAAATCAAATTACAATACAGACAAAAAAAAATAGTTTGAATTTTTTTTCTTTAAACTAAGGAATGAAAGAAAAAAAAATAAGAACAAGAAACTCAAATAATTATAATAAAAGAAGTCAAAAAATAATTTATGTATGAAAAAAATTAAAATGTAATATTAAACTTTGATAGAAGAATCATATATACCCCTAATTAATTTTAAAAAAAAATTAAAAGTAAAAAATATAAATTTAAAACTAATTTTTTAACTTCCGTTAAATGAAGGGTATATGTGAGCTCATTTTGCAATGGCAGGGGTATATGTGAGCCGTTTGTATAATGGTAAGGGCATATATGAGCCACTTTCATAACGAGGGGTATATTAGCTCCAAATGACAAAGTTGAGGGGTATATGAGACCCTTTTCCCTTTTGTTAAAAGAAACTGTAAATGTCACTAAGGGGTCATTTTGGTTCATGGACTAGTTAAGATTCGGGTGCAGGTATAGTTTTGCAGAGATGAATAATACTTGTACATCTTCTAACAATATAAGTTCTTCCATGTTGCAACCAATATGAGATACAAGCGGTTACCATATGAGTTATACTGGAAATGAAAATGTCATCGGACACACGATAAACAATACTACCATGACTACTTTTTCTAACCTCTCCAACCAAACGGCCCCTTATATGTAATAAGTGATCTTAAATTTCACATCAAAATTCTGGTGCAGCAAGCATAAATTGGTCCTTTGCAACCTTCACTACTAGCAGAGTGCACTGCTCTCACACAGTAACACATCCACAAACAGATTGACCAACAAGTGCAATGAATTCGAAACTTCTAGCCAGACACAAACATATTGAACACATTTCCAATTTGTATTTTATTAGCACATTTAACTTTAAAAAGTAACAGTTCTTTTGGCAGCACGACTATATTAAGTGCTAGAAGAGACCATGAAGAAAGGATAAAACAGAAAGCATACTTTCATTTGTTGTATTCTGTTAGATTATATTTTCTCAAGAAGATCTGAAGGATCAGAAAACAGAAATATAGGCGAAAACACTTTTAATGTTTAACCTCCCAAAAGCAGATAGTACTTTCAGAAGCTACTTCTATCCCAAATGTTTCTACACTGGTTAACCCCGTAGGGTTATATATAATTATTGATTCAAGATCAGCAACGACTCAAAGTACCATTTGACAAGCAAACACACCTGATTATTTCGCGAATGCTGCCACAGAAGTCCATCATGTTCAAGCAGGGGTTTGTAATTAGGGCGTTTTTGTCGTTCCTCATCTGCTTTTTCTGAAATATAAGTGTGCTCCATTGATCTACAAAGAGAACTGCTTAGCAATAAACTATAGGAAACAATACACTGAGTATATTTTTATTTCATGCTTGAAGAAAAGACTGAGATCAGAAAAAAACAGCAATAAAGAAATCCTGTTCTTAACACCCTTGCACAGATTGTAGACACTTTATCTTTGCACATCACTACTTCACTAAGAGCCTGTTTGGCAAAGCTTCTAAAATCAGCTTATTTTGAAAAGGGTTTTTTCAAAGTGCTTCTGAAAAAGCACTCTTGGTGAGAAGCAGTTTATGTTTGATTAATCAATTTGAAAAGTACTTTTGAGCAGTAACTAGTGTTTGGCCAAGACTTTAGAAAGTGCTCTAAGTATATTTTCTCAAAACTGCTCTAAGTATATTTTCTCAAAACTGCTTTTGAAAAAAGTACTTCTGAGAAACAACTTCTTCTTCTTCCTAAAAACATTTATTTTCTCCTAAAAGTTTTGCCTCGCAGCTCAATTTTAAGAATAAGCACTTTTGGCCTCACAAAAACCAAAGCCAAAAAGAATGTATTTTATTGCAAACCAGAGGGCTGGCAAGAACTTCATTATTCATCTGCATATAAACCATCTGTGAGACAGATACAACTTTCTACATAGTTCAATATATGCTTTTCATCCCTTCAACTTCATCTTATTGTCATATGCATCTTGATGTATGGTCGTTATAAATCCAGTTGAAACTCTGGGCATAGTAGCAATATCATTCATGAATCATAACTTCAATTTGAACTAAGTTAACCCCCAACTTTTGACATCAATGCATAGACTAATCTTCTAAACAGAAAGCATACACTTGTCCAAAAAACCTCAAGTGTCGAAGAAATAGTCAGTAACATAAAAACAAAAACTAATAAAACACTTAAGAAAGTGTTGCTGAATTTGTGTCTTTCCTTTCCATTTTTTTGGGGGGATGTTTGTGATGCACATCTAGACATATGGACATTTTAGAATACCATTTTAAGAAGAGCAAAGGTAATATCTAGACATATGGACATTTTAGAATACCATTTTAAGAAGAGCAAAGGTAATATACCGTTGGTAAGCTGGGAGTGATGGTAAACTCCTTAATGCTTTGAGCTTTTCTTCAAACATGGATCGTTCATACAATGCTGCAACAGCTGCTGCTACTTGGGAAACAAAAATTGCGCCTTTAGAGAGTGTTTCACCCGATACATTCGTTCCATTCTCCATTCTTCTTTTAAGTGGTTCACCGCTTTCCTGTGGCTCTTGAAGATTGTCTTCTCCACTTTTCATATCAGTAGATTCATTGAACATACAAGAACTAAATGCACAGTCACAGATACTTTGCTTTAGCATGTTGATAGCAAACAATTTCCCATTCATTTCGCCATATAACACAGAAAGTTGGGTTCCCAACCACACCAAGACTTGAACTAAGACAGGACACTTAAAACTCCGATTACTCAAAACTGATTCCTCAGCTTCTCCATTGCAAAATGTACTAGCTAAATCAATAGATTCCCTAACTATAGCCTTCAAACAAAGCTTAAACAGTACAAGTACGTGATCCCTCATTGCTAAATCAAGCACAACACTATAATACCTTGCTGAATTAGCAACTACCCATGTAGATAAACACTCCACACTACTCATTCCCAATCCTAAAATCGCACGAAGAACATGATATGAATACATAAAAGGAAACTCATTCCAATGATCCGTTTCATTCCTAATTGCATAAACCTCCGAAGGAAGAAGCTGACTAACAATTTCTTTCGGAAACCCCATCAAATTTTGACCAAAATTAGCACATTCGGAAGATAAAACAGCAGGCAAAGTGAGCATTGGAGGATTGGCATTTTCTCCCCTAATAGGAAAAGAAACAACACCAGGACAATTAGAATAACAGAAAGTGGGATTTTCAAAATCGAGGTATGTTTCAAGAGAGAAGCAAAGGTCAGACTGTGATTCAAGCAAGGGTAAGGTAAAGGGATTGGAATAGTGAAGGGTATGGGGGTATTTGAGGTGCTGTATTAGGGTTTGAATGTAATCGGCTGATGAAGAGGAGATGGGTGGGCAATGAAGAGAGTGAGAGAAGAGGGAAGAAAGGGGAAGACGATGGTTGGAATTGAAAGGGCATGGGATTAGAGCTGGAGAAGGAGAGGGAGCAACAAGGGGTATAGGAAGAAGAGAGGAGAGAGAGTTGAGAGTAGTTGAAGAGAGGTTGAGGAGAGATGTAAGGGATGAGAGAGCACTAGGAAGATCATATGCCAGAGCGCTGGTTGGAGTAGGGTGGTGGAAGTAAGATGGTGGCGGTCGCGGAAAGGTGGAGGCCGGTGGCGGGGGAAAGGCGGAGGCCGGTGGCAGCGGTAGCGGTAGCGGCGGCGGCGGAAATGGATTCATTTCGTCCTCAATGGTCGGCCGATATGTTGACGAACTACGTATATTTGTGAATGTTGTGCATATAGTAAGGGGTGTTTTTAGCATATAAGAAAGGGAAAATTAGCAAATATACTTTTAACTATTATAAATTATCTAAATATTTCTCTTTATATTTTTGGTTGAATTTTTAAAGTTAGACATCAATTTTCACTTATACATTTTAAGTAGACCTATTTATTTTAAACACTTCATGTCATGAAGGGAAAAGACTCAAATATGTCATTGAACTTTTAGTAAATGTTCATTTATATCATTAGTTAAAAGTTTGGTTCATTTATGCTATATCACTGTCAAAGAAAACACTCATTCATGCCATTATTTTTTAATGGTGGTTTTGTAAAACCATTTTTGACACTTGATGACTTTTTTTATTAAATAAATTGATGAAATGGTCGAATTGTAATTGATCACATATCAAAGATGGTTTTGCAAAAGCATTGTTAAAAAATAATGGCATGAATGAGTCTGTTTCTTTTAATGATAATGACATAAATGAGCCAAACTTTTAACTGATTGCATATATGAGCCTTTTCTGTAAGTTCGATGGCATATTTGAGTTTTTTCCCTTAAATGAAAGGTGTCAAATAAGTTAGTTTTTTGTGACAGTTTGACCGAGAGCTGTCAAATACTCCTTAAAATGTAATTAAGTAAATTTGAATCAAATTAACATTTTCAAAACTTTCTAATCTTTTATAAAATAAAAAGGAACACTTCATTTTTTCAACTTTTATAATTCTATCTAAACTATTTTTTTTTTAAAAAAAAGTACATGAAAATAGAATTTCTCTTCTTCTTCTTCCAATGTTCTTTCTTCTCTTCTTCTTCCTCTTTAGAAAATTTGAAAATCTGACTATCAAAACAAATATTCTCCCTCATTATCTTATCTTCCTTCTCATCTCCGGTTGTGACTCTCTTCTCTTTCTGAATTGAAGATTGTGTTCGACTTAAAATGGGTTAATGAAGAACAAATCGTTCTATAGATGTGAAAAATAAATAATAATAATACAATGGTACCTATTATTTATTGTTTTAGAAAGAAAATTAACAAATTCAAAAAATCGTAATTTTGAGAAATTACATATGTAATGTTAACATTCAGCGAAAATTTATTTTTTGTTGTTTTTGTTGTTCTTTTTGTGACCTTTTTGTTCATATGATTTAAGAAATATAGTTTTGTTCAGTTGTCCAACAAATATTTGAAGTGTAGGAGATTGAAAAAATCTATTTCTCAATCACTATCTATAGTTAGTGAAAGAAAAAACAATGACTACTGTTTTGTATCACACTCAAATCTAAAAGGCAAGAAGAACAAGGAGAAGGAGAAGGACCTAGAGATGGAGAAGGAGAAATTGAAAAAGAAAGCGAAAGAGAAAGAGAAAAAAGTCGAAGTCGTCAATTGTGATGCAAAGCAACAATATCCACCATTAATTAGATAGTTTTTGGTGTAGGGATTGAAGATGTTGTTAACAAGTTAGAAAAGGATTAGTAAGTGGGTGGATTTGAGGGATAAGGCTAGAGAAAAGGCTATTTTTGGTGAAATTGCTAGTAATTGTAGTGTGGAGAAATTGGCTAACAAAGTATTGGGTGAAGAATGGAATGTCAACAAGCCTTCTAATATGGAATGGTTGAATTCACAACATGATCATCTTCTTTCAAATGAAAAGGTTAAATTTGGGACATTGGAGGCTTATCTTGCTTATAGACTTGCTATAGAGTTATTATAACCTTCAATTTTTTTTTATGTCTACACCATTCTAGGTTAGCTTATAATTAGATGGTTAATATTTCTTTCTTTTTATGTATAGTTTTAATTTATCATGTTGTTTATACTATTTTGCTATAGCTTTTTCACTTTTGTTGTTGGAGGGAATATTATTATTATTATTGTTGTCGTCGTTGTCATAATATTGACTAGGGTTATATATGATCACGTTGGTTCGGATTATTTAATATTAAATCACATTATTCGTTTAAAGTAAATTTATAAGCCAAATCAAATTAATAAAAATTGGGTTTTTTTAGATTTTCAACCTCAAGTTGGCTTGGGTTAGGGGTGTACATGATCCGGTTAGTTCGAGTTTTTCAAATATCAATCAAATCATCATGTGAAATTTTTAAATTTATAAATCAAACCATTCGTGTAAAATTTTTAAATTTATAAACCAAATCAAACTAATAAAGTTTGGATTTTTCGGGTTTTTCAACCTCGGTTGATTTGGGTTTTTCAAATACCAAATCAAACCATTGTGTCAAATTTTTAATTTATAAATCAAACCAAACTAATGAACTTTGGATTTTTCCAGATTTTTAGATTTTTCGGTAAAGTTTGCATACAAACATATAATTAACTTGTGCTCCAAATATCTCTTTAGTCAATCCAAATACAATTATCTAAGGTGTTTTTAAAAAGACAATACAACAAATGAGATGAGTATTGATGACAAAAAAATATTCAATAAAAAATAATAATGAAATCATCATACAAAATAAATACTGTAAAGTCATAATGAAAATAATCATAATTTAAAAGTACTAAATCATGTTAAAATAAGTTTAATAGTATTAGTTACATTACTAAATATTTAAGGAAAATTAAAATTAGATTATGCATTTTAATTGTCTAAACCAATGTAAAACTAAAGAACAAATATTCAATATTATTGTCATTGTTAATGTTGAATTAATATTCTTTTTGCATTAGTATTAATTTGATTTTGATTTAAGTTTTATTATAATTATCAACATCTATGAACTATTATATTTATTGGACCATTCCGAATTCTAAGTTTTAAATTTAAAATAATATATTAAAAGATAAAAACTATGAAATAGTATAAGAAATATTTTTAGATGATATCAAAGTAAACATTTTTATGTATAATATAAAACATATATAATGTCGGGTTGATTTAGTCTCAAGTTGATTATTTTTAGTTTAAACCAAACTAATCCAAATATAGTCGGTTTTTTTCAATACCAAATCAAATCACTAGTCGGATTTTTTTTGTTTGACTTAGTTTGTGTTTGTTCGATTTTTTATTTGATTTTGCACACCCCTAGTTTGGGTTTTTCAAATGGCCAAACCAATTAATTATGTTGAATTTTTAATCAAATCAAATTAATAAATCTTTGATTTTCTTTAGATTTTCAGATTTTTAGATTTTTCGGGTAATGTATGCATATAAACATATTATTAACTTGTGCTTTAAATATTTTGTCCAACCAAAATATCTAAGCTGTTTGTAAACAAAATGACATATGAGATGAGGGATGACACTAAAATATTCAATAAAGAATAATAATGAAATTATCATATAAAATAAATATTGCTAAGTTATAATGAAAATGATCACAAAAGTTCTAAATCATGCTAAAATATGTCTAATAAGTATAAGATACATGATCAAACATTAAAGAAAAATTAAAATTAGATTATGTATTTTAAATGTCTAAATTAATATTAAAGAACAAATATTCAACATTATTGTCATTCTTAGTGTTGAATTAATTTATTTTGTTAGCATGGTATTGATTTGATTTCGAATTGAGCTTATTAAAGTTACTAATATTTATGAAATATAATCTTTATTGGATCCATCAAAAATCTAAGTCTCAAAAAACTAGAGAAAATATGTTGAAAGGTAAAATATATAAAAATTTATAAATAATTGTATAGTTAAGAGACTATTTTAGACCTATTATAATAGTTTAGGGATCATTTATGTTATTGCTCTCTCTCCTTTAATATGCATCTATGTTTCTTTTGAATAGTGGAAAGAATTTTAATGGAATCATTTATGTTATTGCTCTCTCTTCTTTAATATGCATCTATGTTTTGAATAGTGGAAAGAATTTTAATGAGAAATCAAATAAAATAATTGAAGAAGATGTGAAGATAGAAAAAAGAATAAACAAATAAATTTGAACTTTTGTTTACTTTTAGGAAAAGATATGAATGAATTGATCAATCCAGTAATTTCACTTCCTAGAATCATCTCAAATTCCATTTTTAGGAAAAGTATTACTTAGATTGTTATATTTTTTTAAAAAATAAGAAGTTATATCTATGCATTGAATTTTATGGTCTTCAATAAATTAGGTATGTGATTTTTGTAAATGTAATTGATGATCTTGCAAAATGTAGTACATAAAAAAAGATATTCAAATAAGACCAAAATGCAATTAAGATTCACCTTTTTTATTTTCAAATTTCAGTCACTTCAAGAATATAAAAGAAATAAATAAAACACAACCTGATTTTCTTTCATCTACTAGATGTACTATGCTTGTGCAAGCGTGGGTTCAATAAATTAAAATTGAATACATTAGTACAAGTTAATTTAAGCAGTTACATTTCAAGAAGAACAACTTAAAATTGCTAAAATGTAAACTAAAGCTAGAGGAAAATATAATTAGAAAACTAAAAGTATACATCATAAAATGTAAGTGTTTATAAGAAACAAAATGTAAGTGTTCATAAGCAATAAATAGCAAGAGTGACACACCGCTGTTCATTGCTGGTTTCGGTATGAGGAGAGCCGCAATAGTGATAACCGTGCCAATTATGCATCTCAAGCCGGCCCTTCCTCTGAATGGTTGTTGGATACTGGGGCCAACATGCACATTACTTCTGATCTATCCAAGCTTAATGCTCCAAATCCATATCATGGCTCCAATGGTATTACTGTTGGCAACGGTGAGTCCCTTAATATTTCTCACACTGGCACAGGTACCATTAAAACCCCCACCACTATCTTTCACCTAGGTAACCTTACCCACGTCCCTTCTATTAAAACCAATCTCCTTTCAGTTCACCAATTCACAAAAGACAATAATTGCTCACTCTTGTTCACCTCTAGTGATTATCAT